TTTGTATGGTGAGTGGTCTTTCAGGTCAGATGGTAAAAGTACGGCTCTGCCGAACTCTAAAAACCTGATTCGATCCCCAGCGGGGCAGGCACAAAGTAAATGCTCTGCTGTTTCATCGTTGATGAGGTAGTCGGATAGTCGAAATGCAAGATTCCCACCTTGATACCCGCGACAACCTTCCCATATGAGGGTTTTCGCACGTCAGCTACACCTCACGATGCCTTAGATTCAACCGTGCAGGGCTTTTTCGCCTCTGGTTTTGGTGAATCATCACTTGAGCGCAAACGTTTGCTAACCTGCTCATGTGGGGTTTGTTCCTCCACTTGGGACAGATTCTGCGTACGTCTCTCAAGAATTTGGTGCAGGCGGTTTCATAAGGTATCCCGCTCTTGAGGAGATGACTCAGTCGTCTCCTGGCTGCACCACCAAAGCTTTTTTTTTAGGTTCAGTTATTGGATTAGGAGTTGGAGAGTTGAGAATAGGGAAAGAGGGTCGATCACGGCAGAGCCCCGCATTACCGTGACAAGGCAATGCTACGACGAGAGGGCGCCTGGTATCTCGAAGGTTTCGTAGAGACAGCTGATAGGCTCCGTGTCATTCATCCTCTCGGCACGGATACACACACCTCAGGATTAAGCTATTGTTCGGATGCCATTCAGTTAGGGAATAACAGAACCATAAGTGATTCTGTCATTTCCGTATCCATCGGGGCTACGTGGAAGCAGGCATCCGATGGCCGGTTTGCTCAACTTCCACATCCCAACTGGACAAAAACAGCATGCACAGTGGTTCAGGAAGTGAAAGATGAACAAGGACAGCCATCACAACACACAGTAACCCTTGTTTTAATAAGCAAGTGAAGAGGGGGATCAATCCAATGGTGTTATGTGCCCCTTCCCAAAGGACGAATGATGTTTGGGTTCGGTGTTTTGGGTATCACCAACGGAACCTGTAGGATACCAGTAGACCTCTCATAGTAGGTATTTAGCCTCGCCTTCATGCAGGGATCCCCATTTAAGTGGACAGAGCTTTGTCCCATTCTCGTGGAAACCTAATTTACCTCAACTACAAACGAAAAGAGGAGGACTCTTAGGAGGACTCCTCTGACTCTCAATGATAGCAGTACAAGCCAATTTTCAACACAATGAGGGAGCTTCGCCGATCTTCACGAAGATTATAAAAAAGTTTGATATTGCTCTCACACAAGAACCTTGGGTCTACAGCGGAAATATCATAGGATTGAAAGAGATTCAATAGAAGTGCATTCACAACACAACCTATGAGATTCCAGGAACATAAATGATTATTCGAAAAGGAGTAAGTAAGTAAGTAAGTTGAGTAAGTTTCGTACTTGAGACTTGATGGTGGTTAGACCAAAGATGGCTGGTAAGGGAGGATCTGAGGAAATCATCACTACATTACGACAGACGTGAATCACCACCAATCAGGGAAGTGGAAACCTGACGAATAAACAAATCACAGCTCTTCATTGGCTGTAGTACCAATGCACATCACCTGATGTGGGGGAGCACTGACAACAATTACAGTTTATTGTGGCAAACGCCCTACATTTGTCAATACGAGACGTAGTGCAGTGATAGATTCAACAGTAGGTACTACATTTATGACTAACTATGTTTAGAAATTTTTGATGACAAAAATTGTTCAGATTATCAGATTATACACTTTGAAATCAGAGTGACCATAGGAACCTCTGAAAATATTCTGGAAAACTATTAGGTAGAACTGCACATCGAATAAGTTTAAACAGGAATGTTTCCTGATAGAATGTAGATCTGACATAAATCAAATAAAGAACTGGTATTTGGATTGATACAAAAAATCCCTAAGTAAATACAACAAAGCTGCAGATCTCAGAGAGAATCATGGCTAGTGAACATTAGAAATGCCATTATTTTAGGAAAAGGTCACACAGCCACGCATTTCAAAAATGTCTTCCTTTTTTTTCATTGTAGGCCCTTCAATATTTTGTTTAATTTTTTTCGTTCCATCTACAGTTACATGTTGCTGCAGATGAGTCAGAAAGATTAGCGAGCAATATGAACGAGTGTATGCTATTTAACATGAATACGAAACTTGTAATTAAAGGTGTACCTTCTTTAACGACGCATTGTATCAGATTACAACTGGAAAAAGTAAATGTATCGATAACATCAGATGAGCCACTCAAGAAGTAGGTAGAATGAAACATTCATCAAATCCTATAATTACTCTGTAAAAACATTAATAATTACGCCTCCTTCAGCTCCACAAATGTGCAATGAGATCTTCCCAAGATGAATGCACCCAGATAATTTTGAATTTTTTTCTCGAAGGAAGATACTTCACTACATAGTCGCTTCGCTGCAGCGCTGTCTGTCCCCATAATAATAATAATAATAATGTTTATTCAGGTTCAAATCACAAAAAGAAATAATACATACAGTTGAATAAACACTGTATCCAAATCAATTTATTTCTCTTAACGTTCCCACCCACTGGATCTGACAAATGCCTGACAGAACCCCTAGGTTGGGCTACGTATCGGGCGCGTCCCCAGGTGGCGGACATGGGAACGGCCAGGAGACTGGAAGCCAATGTGGCCTTACGGACGAAGTCACCGGACTCCTGGTCACTGGCAGAAATAGGTTTGGTGATCGAAACTAAAACTCCCCAAAAGCCTTTGCAAAACAAGCCACCGTAGACCAGCCTAGCTAAGGTGTAAGGAATCGTGTTGACAGCTGAATAGCCGCAGGGTGATATGCGGTTACGAACAATCCTCTTGGGGAACTGGGCGAAACCTCATCGAAATTAGCCTACCTCTGGTAATGCGAGGCTCTGCCAGAGGTGACCAACTTTTCCCTTGCTACCCGTGGGAACACACATGAATGAAATGAACACAAAAACAGAAACAACAAAAACCAATCCCCAGGCTAGACAGAAGAGCGCACCTTAATCTAAGGCGGTGGCTGGGGATGAACAAAGATGTTCACCCCAATCTACCGCTTGGAATGAGGCTGGACATAGCAGATCACCTTGTGATGTAATACAAAGGCCACGGCGTAAGCGCATTTGCGGCACCGAGTCCAAAAGGAGGAAGAGAGCGAAAGAGGCAGAAGTGGCAGCAACTATAAATGCAACCTCCTCCTCCCCCACTCCACTTCCAACAGCAAAGGCACTTCCTGCGGCAGGCGCCAAGAGCTCCGCTTTGAATAAAGGCAAGAAATCGGCTGCCCTTGCAGGAAAGCTTCCTCACTTGTGCACCTCCACTGAGAGAACCCCAAAAAGTTTGAAGAAGAAGAAGCCACGCAAAGACAGTAATGTCGCTGCACCTACCAAAACTTTCGCGAAAGCTACCGTGAGACATCTCAAGGTTGCCAAAGAGAGTGTGTGTTCGGCAAGTCTTGGCCTACACCTGCCAATATAAAGGAGATGTCTCCTAATGACGTTTTCACCTTTCTGGAAAGGATGGACGATGATCGCCTTCGACGGTCAAAGCTTGGATTTGCAACTGACCGCCTTTGGGATCTCCGTACATATTTAAATCTTTAATATTCGAAGAATTAGTCTTATGACGATCTCATAGATGGCTCTTTCATAGGGAGAGATGTCACCACCTTTAGCTGAAATGAAAATAAATTGATGATGGGGTGAAATAAATCTATTGTAGACTATTTCATTTTTGTTATTTGTTCTTGTTTTGTTTTTTTGATACCTATTTCACTTATCCTCCACCAAAAAGCTCATAACAATTTTCATACTATGATAAAAATTGATGAGGTAATGTGACCCTGAATAAGGTTCGCAATCTGCAGTTTACACGTAAACTTGATGAAACGACATGTATATACAATTTTTTCAATTATGGTCAATACATTTTTTGTATTTCTCGAACATTCTTCAGTACTGTTCTATCATTTATCTGATGAATGTTCTTCTTCATTGCAGTCTTGTGTATTTCCATAGCTTTGCTTGAAAATATAGTTCTTTGATTCACCATTCGCGAAGAAATCCAGTGGTTTTAGATCTGGTGTACTGGGTAGCCACTGAGTGAAGCCATAGTTTCCTATACATTGATAGATAAAAATGGTTTTTACAAGGACTAAGTTTTTCAGTTTAGTTGCAGGCAGTTGCGGCATCTAGTTGAATATACAGATTTCGTCTATCTGTAGAATCCAATTATCAGATGAATAGTTAGGTTGAATAACTGAAGCCACTTTTTGACTTTTCAAATAATGAAATGTACAGTGACGCTACGAAAGTCCGCACCATATGGAACTTTTTTCATTAATAGATACAATTGAAAATTGAGTTCGTAGTTTACTGAACAATCAGTGAATATGAGCTAAGTTTCTTGAAGAAATCTACAATGAAGCACGTGAAATATCTATGAAGGTCCCAAAAATATTCTGTTTTCAATTTTGTGTTCATCTACTAAATTTCAACTTTCTACTGTCATTTTCATTCAATTTTTTTTGAATTTTCGCTCTACCAACTTTATTCAAACACCATGTTTCTGATGAATGTGAGACTTACAAGCAATATAATTTTAAAAAAAAATTTGTTGGCCTATTACCAGAAAAATGTATCTCTGAAAATTTTTCATTTTTGGAGTAATTCTGTTCAGTTTTCTCAAATTATTTATAAACTACCTTGAAATTATTTTGTCGAGAAGTAAATGTATAACTAACTAAATAAAAGAGTTCGTTTTTTTATGATTACTATTTGAATCAATAAAGAAACGCTGAGATTTGTTGTAAATTTGTTCGGTCATATTTTCAGTCGAANAAAAATAAAAGGGGGGTACATTGAAGAAATGCACTGCATATCTGAATCCTAGAAAACCTACAAGACCTAAAAAACCATTGGTCACCGAGAAAAATATAAACAAAGGCCTATCACTGCAAATCTCTAATTAGCCGTGTACAGAGACAAATGCACGGAGAAAAGTAGCCTCTTCTTCAGTTGAAAGAAGAGGTGGTTCATATAGGCCACAATTCCATTCGAGCCGATTCAGTCCTCATTCTCGTGGCTCGATCGACAGATCGCCCACCGCACTCTCTGTCGAACTCGTGATCTTCGCGATCGTAATTTTTTCCCGGCAGTGTCGACTATGATGTACCAGAGGCTACTGTGCGCTAGTCAAATGCTGTTATTTTTCACCCTTTTCACGGCGATTCTGCTCGTAACAGGTAAGCACACGACTGGATTTCGTGACGGAAAGCGAAAACCCACACGAAAGTTGCTTGTCGTTTTTTCCTGCGATGTCACGATCGGGCTGGATAAGGTTCACGCAAAACAACAAAAAACCGTCACGCTGAATGGCGATCGTACTTGTATCTGCAAAGTGACCGTTGATTTTTGCCGATCGCAGAAAACTGAGAAGAAAAATATATGATTGAGAAGTTCAGTTCTCAAATTTGTTCTGAATATCTACTTTCCGAAACGATATCCTGAAGAAACATTTGATGACATAAATATTTCAATCGTTCATTTCAAAATCAACAAATCTTCATTATCTTCTAAAAAATAATAAGGTTAATTTCGAAAGTTATCTCGTTTATTTAAATCGGTTTTTTTCAGGAGATCTTGCCTTTTATTAAAATCTCCGCTTGTTTGTCATGATCTCAAGATTTCTATTCATTTATTTATATTGGTTTTTCTCAGAAGATCTTGCATTTTTTACAAAATATCGGCATTTTTGGCAGGATCCCAAGATTCTTATTCCTTGATTCATCTCGATTTTTTTCACAAAATCTTTCCCTTTTTCAAAATCTCTACTTTTTTGCCAAGATCTCTAGATTTTTATTCATTCATTCATCTCTGTTTTTTTAGCAAAATCTTTCCCTTTTTCAAAGTCTCTACTTTTTTGTCAAGATCTCTAGATTTTTATTCATTCATTCATCTCTGTTTTTTTAGAAGATCTTGCCAGATTACGAAAAAGATTTTGATTATAAAAATTATTCTACATTCGAATGCTCTCATTCAGTATACTCTACTCCACTCGTCACACACTTTTCCAAACGTTTTTACCTATTGATCGAAGCAGTGCTGGTAGTCTTCTTTGGTGAGAGCCTTTAGGAGCTCTGCCGTTGTTTGCTTTACCGCTTTTATCGACTCAAATCGGGCCCCTTTCGAAGCAGATCTTCTGAAACAAAAAAAAGTCGCACGGTGCCAAATCTGGCGAGTACGGCGCGTGTTCGAGCACTGGAGTATGTTTATCGGCCACACCTCTTCACAGATAGCGCGCTATGGGCAGTTGCGTTGCCCTGGTGCAAAAACCACGAGTTGTTCTTCCACAACTCGGGCCGTTTCTTACGAACTCGTTCTCGGAAGTCTGGTTGACAGTCTGACTCTCTAGAACTCTTTTAGTCATCACGATACCATTAAAGTCGAAAAAAAACTATCAACATTGCCTTGAATTTTGATTTGAACATCCTTGCTCTCTCGGCCCGCACTGAAGCGCTCACATCACTCAAAACCACGTGCACGAGATAGAAAATTGTCCCTATAGTCCTCTTGCAACAATTTGTATCACTCAGTCGGAGTTTTTTTTGAATTCAACGAGAAATTCGAGATTGATATGTTTCTCCTGTTTTCCGTTATACATGGTTTTCGGCTTTTTTTGCCCACCCCTCTAAGGCGCCCTCTAGACGCGCAGTCTCGTTATTTATTAGCCGGACCTCGTACATAGAAGTTGAAGAACAAATCTCAAGATTTTCATTTGTTTATGCATATTGTTTTTTTTTCAGGAGATCTTGCCTTTTAACAAAATCTCTACTTGTTTGTGAAGATCTCAAGATTTTTATTCATTTATTTATCTAGATTTTGCCTTTTACAAAATATCGGCTTATTTGTCAAGGTCGGTCGGTAGCCAAGCGGTTCGGCGTGGGTGCCTTGTTCACTCACTCGAATTGACTGCCGTGTTGGTCGGTGGTTCAAGCCCTAGTCTGAACGATCGATTTTCACTTGCTATCGTCCAACCCGTGTTAGGAATCAAACGTTAAAAGGTAAGACCTCGTTAATCCTTAGCTCGCACAAGTTTCGACTTCTGAGGGTTGTCGTTCGTAGGGGTGCGACAGCTGGTTAACGGAAAAACAGATTTTTATCTCAAAATTTTCATTCGTTTATTTATATCGTTTTTTTAGGAGATCTTGCCTTTTTACAAAATATCAGCTTTTTAATCAAGATCTCAAGATTTTCAATCATTTATTTTTTCATTTATGAACAGGAAAATCCCAATTCAATTCACAACAGCCATGAAGACATGGATACTGCAAAAATTGAATGAATAAGCTAGGTTTTCGAAGGGCCCGGATTGTTGAGAAAAAGTCTTTTTTTTGTTGAACAATATCTTTCAATGCGGAACAAAAAATGTTTTTTGGCCTCTTCAACCTATCTGGAGTTCGCGGTGATATTACGAGACAGAAGGATAGAGAACATTTTCATGTTCTTTATCCTTCTTATCATCTACTACAAACTCTAAGTCATATTGAGAAGAGAAATGAAAATTTCTATGTTTTTTACCACTTTTATTTGTAACTAACGTTACTGCAGTTTCATCCTATACGGACATTTTCAAACTTATACAATATATCATGGTAAAAAACATAAAAATTTTCATTTCTCTTTTCATTATGATTTCCCACCACGTAGTAACGGCTACATCCATCAATTTATTCTAAGTCATATATTACATGTTTGTTTTTTTTGGATTGTTCCAAAGGGACGTAATATGGAGTCCAGAATAATGTAATCTCCAGAAATCATTATAGAATTTTAGAAATATTCTGAAAAATTTCATTTACAATTTGATAGAGGTATCTATTCTATTCTGAATAAAATACCAATTCAAGCAGTAACAGATAATGGAATAAATCGGCTTCTACTGATAATGGATTATCTACATTTAAGCAAAAAAGTTTTCAACAATTCAGGTTGACCAACTGAAAACTTCCAACTCTCAGTATACTTCTACCAATACTTTTATTTTGTTCAAAAAGTAACTGAAAAATCATAACCCTCGGTGCAGAAGAACTCTAATCACTCCTGGAATATTCGAAAGATATTATGCTACGTTCGTGACCAACTCTATAGAAGTGTATTTATCGGCCCAGGCCAGATTCCCATCGCGCGATTAAGACATAACTTAATCCTCTTCCTGGCTCTTATATAAATTCCCTTGCCTCGCAATTTGTGGAAAGCAAAACCTTGAATGTAAAGTATTCAGAGCATAAACCATAACGATAACATAAATCTCAAAGCAACTGTAAACTAAAGATTGTGTTTCCGGCAATGAGGCATCCGAATTTTTATCGTTCAAGTTTTCATTTTACTCCATCTCCGTTATAAAAGGCGATCATAGGATTAATTGATTATTCTACTTTGAAATTAATTAGCTGAAACGCCGGATAGACGGTGGGTGGTAATATGTCTCCTATAACGGTATCCGTTACTTTATTGTAATAAGTCGTGTTTTTCAAAAAAATTAAATTTTTTAAATCGTCAACCTGTCTTCAGACTCGGAAAATTCCATATATTGAACGATCAACTTCGTGGTAAATTAACACACGTGATAAATTATCACAAATAGCTATCTGAGAAAACTGACAAAATGTATTGATAAAAACAACATTCCGTGTTCACATCAAGCAGCATTTCCTGATCTCTTTCCGGTGAGTCAACACTTTAACTTGTTATTTATGATAAAGGACAATTGTTGATTAAACGGTATATTGAAATGCCCCAGCAGCAAAAGATATTTTTGCGCTTTCCACAATGCTATGTAGAAAATTGAAAAATAAACAAACTCCAAAAATGGAGGTAGTCCAGAACGTGCAGAAACCAGAAACATTCAGAAAAATCAAGGGATTCCGGATTTTTAATGAAGGGAGACACTTCTTTCCAAAATTTGTAGTTCGAATCATGATTAACAATCAAGGTATAATAAAGAAAACTATTACTCTTGATCGTACTCTTCATTCGTATCAACATTTTTGCTGGTACTAGATTGGTAGAGAAGGTGAAATTCACTATCCTCATCAGCCACCAGATTTGTCGTCCTTTGATTGACATAATACATATAAAATATTATCTATATAACAATCAGATTTACTCCACAGAATTTTAGTCGACGAATAACTTTGTGAAGTCTCCTGAGAGTAAGAAAACGTTTGAAACAGAAATACTATAATGTTATGGGCGAAAATGATCATCAGTTTGGATACCTTATCAAATAATTAGCAAGTGAACAGTTAAACAAGATTGAACTGTTTTGCTATTGACGAATATTCACAAAAAACAGTTGTATTTGAAGAAGTTTACCAAAGTCCACTATAACATTTGTTTTATCACTTCTGACTCTGGTTTTCAAGAAAATAAAAAAATATTGCTAGCAAAAACATTTCCAAACTTTTTCTGCTCAAGAAGTTGAAGCGAGGAGAAAGGTATCTGTATCTGTAGACTAGGAAGGGGGAGTGTAGGCCCACAGTACTTAGGCCTCATGTGATCTATTATACATTCTCCCAAGGAGTTGTCCTCCTAGGTCATCGTCCATCTCGTCTTTTCCAGGTGGACAGGTCTCTGGAAGACATCTCCTTTATATCGGCAGGTGTAGGCCAGACTCACCGAACACACACTCTCTTATTGACGATAGCTCCGGACATAGGACATACCTGCCAGTTTCATCTTCCTGTACACACATCCTGCATAGAGGTGTGTCCACTACCCCCATATTGCGGAGGTGTTTCCTTAGTTGACAGTGGCCAGTAAGAAATCCTACTGTTGAGCGTAGATTTTTCCTGGTCACCGCCAGAGATTTCATCGGCGCCAGCTTCCAAGGGTCGCCCAGGGTGATCCTGGCAATGTTTCATCTTTTGATTCCATCCCATTTCTTTAGGAAGGAGGAAGGTGGCTTCCTGGTTGCACCATCCAGTCCTCTAGGTTTGTTGATAGGATCAAAAGCTGGATAACTGAGAATCTTGGCTCTCCATTCAGAAAGGATAGTGTGACAAGACAAGGCGAAAGTATGACTGAGTAGACTCAGTCATACCTTTCCCATCTTCGCCAGGAATACACACACCTTAGGATGAGGCATCATTTGGTAGAGCTCCCAAATCCACCTGGCAGGGGTATTGAAAGTCCCGCAGCCCCCACTGAAAGACCTAGAAAAGGAAGTGAGCTGAACAAGAGG